ATCATCCGCAGGTGCAAGGTGAGGGCCCCCCTCCCGTCTGTTGTAGTCTCGCTCGTTCGGGGGCACTGTCTGCTCCCTTGTGCGCCTGTTCGCTCGCGACGAGACCGTAAATGAAAAGGGCGAAAGTGGAGCGTCTCTCTCGGCGCAAGTGACTGGACGCTCGCGTCGGTCGAGCGCTGCCTTGTCGATCGGACGGTGATCCTTGCCGTCTTCGTGGAGAGCGATCGGCGCCGATGGAACTGTAGAGCCTGCAGGGCCGAAATAACAGTTTGCGAACGCCCTGTGCGCGTTTTACCGTTATTTTCGGTGTTGACTTGTTCGCTCTGTCCGGCGTTTAGCGGATAGAGACGCGGCGGCGGCGGCGGCACTCGGTCATTAGGCCGCAAATATTTCAATTGCGAGCGCGCGGCGCACTGTTTTCTTAATAAGCCAAACAATAACAGTCATAGGGCTGGGGTTGCCGCTTTCGCCGTGCAAAGCCGAATAAAACTCGAAGCAGGCGCGCTCGCGCGTTCTCTGTTTGTTAAAGGACTAACGTTTGCACGCTCGTTAGCCGTGTGAAGCACGCGTGCACGCGCGTCGACGAGCACCCGAAATTGCGTGCCGATAATCGCCGATCGACTTGCCGTTTCGAGGTCGAAAGCTACACGATGCTCGGCTCCTTTTTCTTTTCTCTCTCGCCTTGCCGTTTATAGCGCATCGATGCTGGCGATCTCCAAGAGACGCATCACCGAGTTGCGCAACGCGCAGACATGCCAGACAGATGTGCGTCCCAATTTGACGCGGAGAAACGAATACACTGCTCCGCCGGTAATTATCTTTTCACTGTTGACTTTTATTTCGCTGCCGACACAATGCCCCTGTGGCTCCCGCGCTCTCCCCCTCCCGTCGAGCACTTTGCTCCTCCAGCTCGCCGAACAACGCGCGATGCCGCGTTATTTCCGAGACGCGCCGGGCTCGCACGGCAAACGGCGCGCGCGAAAAAGCCTTCGTGGCTAATCGCAGCAGACGCGCGAGACCAGCAGAGTTGCGCGGCGCACCTCGACGTTTTTTAGCGGGACCGCGACGCGAGCGAGATGAGAGCCCCGTCGCCCGTGGTGTTTGCGCAGATGTTCCGCAAACGTCGAGTGCCGCCCTCGTCGCTTCGTATACCTGTACCGAGGCCGAGGACTTCATTACGGCGTGACTGACGTTTGAGTAGTCGGCGCTAATGTTTGAGCGTGGCGTGATATCGCCGTCACCGACGACGACAACGACGACGACGACGACGACGACGACGACGACGACGACGACGATCAGTGATAAATTATCAAAACGATAAGATTTCGACGCTATGCGCTCGGCGTACGCAACAATGTCGCCTAGGTAATTCAATTTCCTGCGTCGCTGCCGCGACTCTTTACGCGTGATTTAGCACTTTGTTTTATTTACGTAACAAGTGGCCGCGGCGACTACAATTTTTTTCTCTTCTTATTTTTAACTTCGGATTTGAGCCTCTTTATTTTTTTCCTCTCTCGTTTCAGTTTCGTGGAGTATTGACGGCGCGAACGTTTTGTCGCCTCTGGAGAACGATTGAACAATCGTTACGTAGTCCAAGTTTCGCCGAGTTGCGAATAAAAAAGGGGAATTTGTTGATTTGCACAACGCTCAAATAACACGCGGCAGCTAATTAATCGGGGCGTTTGCGCGCTCGAAACTTTTGAAGCGACGCCTGCAATTAGGGGCATCGGGAAAGCAAACAGTAACCAAGTACGACAGAAGCTCTTGGGGAAGCGTCCGGACATCGGTCCCGTGCCAGCCCCCTTCAATCGGGAGAAGCTCGGCCAAGTTCGGCTACGGCCAATAAAACGCAAGCGCACCTACACGTCCGTACTGAGATCGGTACGTTAGACGACGCAGCCGAAACTACGTCGTGAACTGGCGAAGAATGCATCGAGTCGGCAGTTACTTTCGCAAACATCATACCTCGAGAATCCATTGTCTTATCAAGCGGCGCGGCGGCAGCTCGACGGCGTGTCGCGGACGAGATCCCCGCTGCTTCGCCTCGGTGACGAGGTGGCGGCCGGGATCTCGCGTGCGCGACGCGTAATGGGGTCGCGACCGAGTACCAAATTGAGCGCGGGCGAGGCGCGAAGTCGAGAGACGTGCGAAATCGAAACGCGCCAGTCGCAGCCCACGGCCAAGACGGCGTGTTTACGAAGCGGTAAAACTGCGGACTCGATGCATTCTTTTTTAATGAACGACGTAGCCGTCAGGCAGGCAGGCAGCAGGAGCAACGCGTTTCTCATTCTCCGCCACGCGGAGCTCTGAAAGCGCGCCGAGAGAGAGAGAGAGAGAGAGAGAGAGAGAGAGAGAGAGAGAGAGAGAGAGAGAGAGAGAGAGAGAGAGAGAGAGAAGATTGCCGGGTTTATGGATATTGTAGGGGCGTTTAGCTCTTTATTGGGCGCCGGCAAATGGGATTACGTACGTGTTGCACGCGGCGGAGATAAGACGACGAGTGCGAGTCCTTCTCTGCGCGCGGCGACCAACTTATGAAAGTGCTTTTTATTTTTTTCCTCCTCCCGATTCAAGGACTCCTCTTAACGGCGCATCTCGGCGATTGATATTTCCGGAAAAGCCGCGCTTATTTATTTGTTGCTCGCTCGCGACTGGCCGCAGCCATTCCACGACAAGTTTCAAGTACATCGGGAATTGAATCAATTAGCTGGCGTGCCTCGTTATTTACAGCGCTGCTGTGTTTGCGCGCGCGTGCGACGGCGTCGCCGCTAGATGGTTTTGTTTGCGCAGCCACCGGCCCCACGCGGCGAAAGCTCGGCCGAGACGAGATTCGCGGGCTTTCCAGGCTCGCGCGTGACCGACGAATAATTGCGCCGCTCGAATAATAAAGCTGGCGACGAGAAACGAACGAAGACCCGCGCAGCTTCCACGCTATTAAACTACTTAATCGCGCGCCGAGATGGCATTAGCAGCAGCAGCAGCAGCAGCTGCCGGCGGCGGCGGCTAAACTCGGCAAGTCAAAGCGATACGCGGAATGGAAACGGGAGCGCGCCAATTGATCGAGAGTTTTGCAATCAATTGATCTATAGCCGCGCGCGCGTTCGCTCTCGCCACGGCTTCTCGAGATCTCGCGACTGCAGCTACCGAAATTTCGCGGCAGGTAAAGTCGTCGTCGCGCGCGCGCGCCTGCGATTGCGACGATCGAGTTTCAAATGCTCCACGAGCAAAATTCAATTATCGTGTAAGAGAAACTTTGAAAAAAAATGCCTTTTTTTATCCTCGAGCTGTCCATGTAGCTGCAACGCGAACGCGCTAAAGCGTCGCAGGTCAAGGAGAAAATTCCGCTGCGCCTATGTACTCCGGCAAAGTTTCTCTCTCTCTGCCTCGCACAACAAACCGAAAGTTGAAGGGAAGCGCGAACGTAGGGAAAATCGACTGATTCAGCTGCGAACTTGTTCGTAGCAGCAGCCAGTGAAAAAGGAGAAAAAGAAAGGAGGAAAGTTTTAAAGAGTCTCGCCAGCGGACTTTTCAATATTTTCTGGCGTGAGATCCTTTTTATCCCCTTTGGCGCTGAAAAGTTGACCATTAATTCGAAGCAACGCCGGCATTAATGCGAAGGTCGCCGCGCCATTCTGTTGTTCATGGTTAGAAAGCGGCGCGTTGTCGCGCGATTTTTCTATTTCGTCACGGTTGGCATTCTCTCGCGGTTCGTTGATATCCATCGCTGGTAGGAAATAAACTTGAGGTATTTTTCAACGCGCTCGTCGGTAATGATTTCGTCGATGACGATCGAGCGCTGATAGCGAAGCCTCGCGATCTATTGAGTGCCAGTAGCGGTCTGTAGATCGGAGGCGATTTCTCCAACCAATAAATCCGTCGATAGACGATTGACGGAGGAGAGCATTCGGGCATCCAGATTTTTCGTTTTCAAGGGCAAATTCGCTAATTAGAAAGTTCAGGAGGAGGCGCGGTGACTATGATTGTCGACAAATTGTTGTGCCGTTAACACACGCATGTCAATTAGCATGCAAATGTACGCGCGCGGCTGATGACAAGGCAATTATTTCGACAAATTATGTCGAGAGCGAGTGGAGCAAGTGGAGCGGCAGCGGCGCCGAAGGGCCGAGCGACGTTGGCGCGATGCGATTTCGAAAATGAAAAAGAGAAACAAAAAAGAGAGTCCACTCGGCAGAGAAAAAGAGCAATTTGCGAATTTGCGAATTTGCGAATTCGCGAATTCGCGAATGGTCGCGGAGAGGCGGCCGCCACGGCGCTCTGCCCTCGCTTACGTAACGATTACGCAAACAATAATAACCATCCGGTGCAGATGATGCGCACGTGTTATCCCCGAGAGCTGCCCGGAAGCTTATTCTTCTTATTTTTTTGTCGTCTCTTTTTGTTGTTGTTGTTTTTCTCTTTTTCTCGCGATCGGAGAAAGCCGCACTTCTGATGTAGATGTACGCTTGTTTTTCTCTCTCTTTTATTTTTTCGCAAGGACTTTGGTGAACAATCGCGCGAGCGCGCGTGTCGTTCCATTTGCAAACGGTTAGTCGTTGCGAAGCGAACTAATAAGGAATTATTAGCCGTTCAGGGATTTCTTTTTTCTCTGCGCACCGGCGCGGAGATTATAAAAATAACAGCGGCGACGAGGATTTGTTTAACCTACTTGCAGCGACGTGTCTCTTCTTCGCTCGCCTCGCCGCCACGGAAGAATTTCGTGATAATGAGCCGAGATAACAGGCGATATGACGAAATTTCTCTCCACCTGTGGCCGTCCCATCAACAGCGCGTCGTTAATTGCCAGCTGCGGGTCATGTCCGCGAGAGCCGATAACGCGGAATCGGAAGTTTTTTGTTTTTTTCCGACGAGCCGCGCTCTCTCGTCGGCACGCACACTCGAGTCGGCTATTAGGCGATAGCAATAGAAACGCGTTTGGCCTTCGGGCTATTTCACTTGCGAAGGATCGGCAGTTTGAGAAAACACTCTCAACGATGGTTTTGCAGGCGGAGGATCTGCTGGACGACATTCTGTCTTTCGAGACCGGTTCGCTGGGCGACGGTCTGAAGGAGGGTCAATCGGGCAGTTTGTCCAGTCTGCCGGACTTGTCGATAAAGAACGAGCCGCTCCTGCTCACGGATGCCGAAATTCACGCTCTCGCCAAGGACCGACAGAAAAAGGACAATCACAACATGAGTGAGTATCCGCGCGAGCGAGAAGAAAAGCCACAGCGCGCTCGCGCACGAATCGGCAAGGAGGCGGTGCATTCCGCGAGCAAAAGTGCATTCCCCGCGTGGCGGCATCAAATATTCACCGCCGAGAGCTTCTTGTCTTCTCAAAGGCGGCCCCCCTTCAAAGGACCACCCGGGACGTACGGCCGGACTTGGAATTATTGAGGCTGGCGCACGCCGAGAGCCGAGGATCTCTTAAGATTTTTATGCTCTCCCGCGCGGCTTTCAAGCCTCGTCGGCGCGAAGCTTCTGCGAATGGCCGAACAGGCCTGGTGTCCTGCGGCTGGCCTCGCGCTCGTCATTTTCGGCCGATGAGCTTTCGTCGCCGTGATCTGGAACAGCCTGGAACGCTGCCGCCAACGAGTGCCGAAAGCGACGAAGGGAAATGCTCGCGAGGCAATATGCGCGCACAATGCAAATGAAGTCGGCTGGACGGGCAGGGCCGGAAAAAGGGGGACAAGAAGTCGCGCGCTCCTACGTGGCGGAGCACGATATTTCGCGGCGCAGATGTCGTCGCTCGGCTGTTTGCGAGCTGGCACTGGTGTGCCGCGCTGCGCTTTTAATTAGTCGCCGGCCCGATTGGAATTCATTGGCCGGCGTCAAAGACGAGAGACACGTGCCTCCGTTCGTTCGCATCGCCTACAATCTAATCAGCCGACGCGAGTGACGAAACTTTGCGCAGCTGTGACCCGCTGCGCCCCGCTGCGCCCCGCTGCGCCCCACCACGCACACGCGCGCGTACACTCGACCCTTTAGGCATTCCCTTTGCCGGCGACGTCGGCGACTTCGGCGACTGCGGCGCCGAGCTCCTGTCGACTTGCACTCGGCTTCCGTGCCTTCTTCCCGTGGCCGGCGGCGATCGGCGCAATCGAGCCGCGAACTTTGCGGATCGGCCAATTTTCCAATGTCCCTCTGACTTGTATTTTTCTCGAGGACTCATTTTTCCGCCTTCGCGATTTATCGGTCTTGGAATACGCCGGCCTTGTCTCGTAAATAAGTAACGGCGAGCTCTTGCATTTTCCTCGCGCGCAGGCGAGTTTCTCGCTGGGAAAGAACGCGTCGGCAGCGCCAAGAGCGAGCCAGCGACCGTGAGCGCGGATAACGTTCGGCCGGCGAGTTTTGGCATCGGCCAGTCGGCGGGCGCGGCCCGGAGCTTCGATCGATTTCGCGCCGAAATAATAACGTTTCCATTAATCGCAATCCACGCGAACTAATTGCCTCAAATAAATTCGCGGAAGCGTCCAGAAGCGTCACGAGCACCCTCGTGTGTGCACGCAGACGCGGACGGACCTATAATCCGGCCAATTGGACTCGATCGGATTGCTGGTTCGGGGAATCGAGCGTATACGCGGCTCGATAAGCGTTGGAGAGGCAGATTCATAGGAAAACGCGAGGCCAAACACGTTTCGTCATTATCGGACGCGCACTCGCACACACGGGCGGCAGCACTTGCCGCGATAAAGACGTTCCCCGTGCCTCGCCGCTAATTTTCGTGAAAAGTGCGCGCGATTATCTAATCTGCCGACGCGTGTCCCACCGCCGAAGAACCTATCTTTATGCGCGCGTATTGCCAATTACGAGTCGCGCTCTACATGCGCGCTTGTGTTTATAGAATGGCAGATAAGGCGCGACACAGAAACTGATGCGTCAGCTTGGCTTCTCCCTCCCAGCGAATGGCCGCGTGCCATTGCACGACATTTTCGGCGGGAATGTGCGTCATCGTGTTGTCATTTCCACCGCGACCACTGCCGTTCCTCGGCGGCCGAACAGCGCGCTTCGCTGAGAAATCTCAGCCCCGTTAAAAATGCTTAACGGAAAGGAAACGCAAGCGAAGTCGCCATCGCTCGACGACGCATTCGACGTATTCGTGAAAAAAGAAGAATCCGAAGTCAATGACGAGGAGCCGAGCTTCTCTACTGGCGTCGCTTGGAAATCAAGCTTGGTACAATGATTGATGCGATGGTCGATTTTCGTCTGTTTTCAGTCGAGCGGAGGCGACGTTTCAACATCAACGACAGGATCAAGGAGCTTGGCACCCTCCTACCCAAGACCAACGACCCGTAAGTGGCGCTCGATTTTTCATTCGCACCTTTTATTGCTCCGGCCCACTCTCCTAATGATCTTTTTATGCGGCTCGGACCTCAGCCCAGAGGAGGACGGATCGCCAGCCTATTTTTCTTCATCCGCGTTTCGCAATTAGAGCCTCCTGCAAAGCGGACCCAAGATCGTCTTCCCAGCAGCGAGCTCGTTTAATCAGTTTCGCTGCAAGGCTTTGCGCGACGCGACAGATCGTTTCAAAAATCTTGACACGCGGGCAAACAACGCGCCTCACCGGAAACCTAAACTCTCCTTCGCCTGCAGAACATCTGGCGAAGACGCGACTGTTTGATCGGCAAACAGACGGCCAAATAACGCGCTCCTCCGCAAGAAAATACATATCATTATAATTATGATGCTTGGGTGTGATTGCGCAACGACGATAGACAATAAATCCGAAACGACAACGATCGTAAAGCAAATCGTTAAACGAATAATAAAAAGAAAAACGGCGTGATAAATCGCGTTTCTTATCATAGTCTGAAAAATACAAGGCGAGGGGAGACCAATGCCGTGTCCGGCTCTACGTATATACTAATGAGCTATCCGTGCGCGTACATCAATTCCTTCGGCCGATTTGTCAAAGTCAAAGTAGCTTTCTTTCCTTCGTATTTATTTTCTTTCTGTCCGGCTTGTCTCTGTCCGATGACAATGTTTAAAGTTCTACCTTGACACTCGCAAAACTTCTTATCGCGGCAATGAGACTTAATGCGAGCGGGCGGGGCCGACGACGGGCTCCAGGCGGTAATTCGTCGACGCGGATTTGCAAAGTCGACGCGCTGTAAAGATCGTTCCTTTTTGATTGGGACCATTGCGGATTTTCCCATTACACTCTGATTCTTGAGATTAAGCTTGTCTTAGAATTCCTTCGGTGATTTATTGAACAAAAATTCTTTCAAACACAAAAATGACAAGATGATAATATTTACAGAAAAGGAATTTATTACGACAAAGTGGGTCGACTATCGAATAAAATAAATAAAATGAAATTTCCCATCATCATTTTTCCCACGGATAATTTTCGTTGGTCGTGTCGACAGTTTACAAATTCAGCGTTTTCAACGATGGCGCAGGGCAAACAATTTCAACAGCACTCCGCCGATAGAATTTTAAATTCGCTGGGTCTCTCGCCCCTTCTCCTCGCGCTCCTTCTGCGACTAACGAAAAAAAAAAAAAAAAGAAGAGGAAAAAGAAAAAAATAATCGTAAGCCAGTTCTGATCGATATCAGCGTATATACCAGACAAATGACAACCGATGACGACATTACTGGAATGCGCCGTTCACCGTTCACCAGCCCTCGTTAATCATTTCCTAAACGAGTGGCTAGGGCTGTTTATACGTTTGATTTCCAATTTCTCGGTGGTCACAATCAGAGAAACACCCGATAAGTCTGTAATTGATTAAGCTCCCCTGCGCACGTATCACTTGAGATTACGTCGAGTTGGCGATGACTTGAACGCGCCAACTTTCTGATTTCGCGCGCCAACGGAAAAACTCCGCGCGACGTGTTATGGAAATTCTTCTGAGATTTCTTCGGGAAATGACGTCGCGAGAGGATATTCGATCAAATTTTTCGCGACACCACCAGCCGGAAAAGTAATCTCGGGGTGTATATATTTCGCTGTAGCGGTGACAAAAAAAAAACAGAAAGCACTTGATCGAATTAACGGATGTGGGTCGTGACGGTACGTATAACGAATCGAGAGAGTGAAAACACCTTCGCATACGAGTGCCTCTCGAGCGATAGCTAAGAGTATCCATGTTTATCTCGAAGCTAATCACGTTTAGCTTCTGCCGGTGGCCTTTTATCGCCCGATCATCGATAATAATTTATTGCAAGTGTATATGTGTACTCCTCGAAAAGAATCCGAACAAAAACTAGTTCAGCAGTATTGCTCAAGATAAGGCCAAACTCTCTGACGTATAATTCGACCTTTCCAAGATTTCCATTTCGCCGTAGCTAATGGCATTTATAAAAACATAAATTTACTAATTTTCCTCTTAAAAATGCAAATCGCATCTGCTCACTTATTTGCGTTTCGGATAATGATCCGCGATAGAATGGACTTTGAGCGAAACCAAACAATACTGCGATAATTTGCATATTGAACGAGTTAAGTAACGGTTATTTGGAATCGCATCTAACGAAGAACGTTCGTTCGATTAATTTGAACAATTAACGGTGCTCCGACAGGCAGCGAAAGAAATTTATGAAATCGCTTTTATGTCCTGTAGGTATTACGAGATCGTAAGGGATGTGAGGCCAAACAAAGGCACGATTCTCAAGTCGTCGGTGGAGTACATAAAGCTCCTGAAGAACGAGCTGACACGCATGAAGCAGAGCGAACTCAGGCACAAACAGCTCGAGCATCAAAACCGTCGGCTTCTATTGCGCATTCAAGAGTTGGAGTTGCAAGCTAAGGCCCACGGATTGCCAATCACGGACTTCAACTGGTCGTCGCCCACTGCCAGTCTACTCAATTCGTTTTCCAAGAGTAGGCACGAACACAGAAAGGTAGGCTCTCGATGCTCCTTTTATTGAATTAACGACTGACGACCCTCCGGAATAGATCGATAACGTTTCATTCTCGTAGCTTCAATAAAATTGACCTAAATATATTTGAGTGAAAATAGAAAACAAAAAAGACTTGTAAATATTCATGAGATAGGAAGGATACTTAGTCTTTATAAGGATTTATCGTGTAGTTTATTTTAAATCTCTTCGATCGACGTTTAATGGTGATAAATTTCGCTGGTAATTAAATGACGTCTTAGTTCACTTGATTCGACGATAACTCGTGAAGAAAAAAAAAACCGAAACGAAATAATCAAGAGAAGAGGATAAACGGATTGAATTGTTTTCATACGATCGCATCAAAATAAAGATTCGGCGTTGCTCGTAGTAAATCGAGATAATGTTTGTCACTTTTACGGATATAATATACGACAGCCCGATAAAGAAATAAAAATATTACATTACGCAACAAGTTCGGAAGGTGGCTGGTTTATCACACGCGTGGGAGGTAGGTGTTCATGCACGCTTATACTATTTTTCCACACAGCCCGAGCAAAGTTCGATCTCTGCGAAAGAAGCTTTACATCAATAATTTCATAATCATATACATTGATTGTGTAAAGCAAATTAACGATATAAAGCTATTCTCAAATTTTACTATTTTTTTCTATATTTAGCTCTGCGCTTTGAAAATTAGTACCCAGCGATATAAGCGCGGGAAAGTAGATTCTTGTCTAGCGTGACGTCTACGTCCAAGCGAAGCGAGGGTGAAATGTCACACGAGACAAAAATCACTTCCAAGTGTTCGATTTCGAGGGCACGTTTTTGGCCGAGCGTGCGGTGAAGTCGCACTTTGCGCACGGAGTGTCGGAAAAAAAAAATTGTAAAGCTAGACCGTGATTTGATTCGGAGTATGTGGAGTCATGATTATAGCGCGCGCGAGTCCGTAATGAAAAACTGGAAACGCACTAAAGCGTTATCAGGGCAATCTAGATAGGAGCGAGACCTAAAGTCTTACGTAACGCGCCGGAAGAGAATGAATTCGTTATAAAAGCAAACGAGTGAAAGATCTCCGGCGATTGTCTGAATTTTTTTTTCTTTTCCGCGCAATTCTCCTTTTCTTTTTTCTTCGCACGTTCGGCAAAGTAATTTATCCGAAAGACGCTTTATTTTGCAAAACAAGAAGATGCAGCAGCTGCAAAACAAAAGGGGACAACTCACCTGTACGATTGCATAACGCTCTTATCTAACCCATTTGTGGTGTCGACGCTCAAGTCGTAAAAAATCATAAAATTGATATGAGCAGACTCACAGCAGCAGAAATTATGGCCGTGGGGGCGTCAAGCTCGCGAGAGTAAAAACGCAGTCGTCGGTAAGGCGTAGATTTGATTTTGTTGGGTGCACGCGTATACCATTAATAATTCGCATTCGAATAATGTTGTTTTGAAAAAAATGCGATCGCGATCTATGAATATTCAAGGCTATCGCGAACACGATTACCGACTTCCTCGCTCGTCTTCCACTTCCACTTACGTACGCTTTGCATTTCCGCGGAAGGGCGTCAGCAGACGCTTAGCATGTCGCGATTCTTCTTTTTTTCTGCATTCGAATATACTCAGTGGGCTTATGTAAAGCTTTGGATGGGATTACAAAACTTGGAATCGGGTTTGCAGCGCTTGAAAATTACACGACACTTTTTATCTGGCGCGAAAAAAAAAAAAAAAAAAATTCAGGCGCAATAAGGAGATGGATGAAGAGTCAAACGTTAAGATAAAGTGATTTCTATTAAATATTTGCTTGTTCTCGCCGATTAATCAGGCGACATAGTGAATCAAACACATGCAGTCGCATTTATCAACTTTGAATTATACGCGAAAAATGTAGAACGTGTAGTTCATCAACTTGTGACACGCTGCGTGTTCAATATGGAACGCTCCAAATTACTTTTTAGAGCGTCAAACAATATTAAAATTAAAGCGCTACGCGGACAATTATTACAAATAAATTTTATGATTAAATACGGAAATTTCAAAATTGAAGCTTCTAAAAATGAGTTCATATATTTTTCTTAGCATTGAAAAATACGAGGCTCTTTACCTTGACGCTCGATGCAAATTATTAGTACAAGTATGAGAATTATTCGTTGACACGAGCCTATTCATTGTTACGCGCGACGAGGAAAAGACGAACGAAGAGAAAAGAAACTCGAACGAGCGACATTTCAAAGTATGTTGCAAACTGTTGATGTTGCAGCTGCCGGATATAGTGTCGGACGACGCGGGAGGAGGGCCCGGTTTGAGTATGTCGCAACTGGAGGACCTGATGGAGGACGATGCATCGGGACCAGTTCACGGTGGCGATCCGATGCTGTCGTCGCCACATTTGCCACCGCTGAGTCCACCAGCGCCACAATGCCATCACCCGTTACCCGACGAAGACACGTTGGGTAGCCTGGCACCGACAACTTCAAATTCATCCTCGGACATGGACATTGTGGCGTAACCCATCTGACCACTGGTTCTCCAATTGCGTGCAGTCCTCGACTTTTTGACGAAAAAAGAACGTGTGCGCGCAGTGAACTGGTGGTGCCTGTACTTCGTTGTTACAATGACCGTAACACATTATGAACGTTGTTTACTTTTACTATCTTTCCTCACAACGACGACGACGACGACGACGACGACGACGACGACGACGACGACGAAAAAGGACAAATTGTGCGTGCAAGAAAGATACGCCACCGCAACGCTGGTCGTAGCTTTGTAAAAAAGAAAAAAAACTGAAAATGATTCCGTATACGATACGCGTGAGAGAAAGAGAGAGAGAGAAAGTATTTTTTAGCATGTATTATTATTGTTGTTCTTGTTGATCTTGCCTCGGCAATCACCACATATTATGGTGCGAAATGCGCTCCGTTGATTTTTGCGAGCGGCAAGCCTAACTAGTAATTGTTTTCTTCCTTTTTTCATTTTCCTTTCCTTTTGAAAAACCATTATTATTCTTTGTTCTTTCTTCGCCCATAGCAAAAGAAAGGCGAAGCCGTTGAATTTCACCGTTTATATATTTTTTTGACGAGAGATGTGAATTTTATCGAGCGATTATTTACCGTTAAAATATTTCATGAAATATGTAATATATTATACATATATTTTTTCGAATCCTTGTGTTAAAAGAACGTATTATTTTACTGTTGAATTTCAACAATAAAATTTGAGATGTCTATTATTATAAAATCATTCATTTCACTTAGTTGAACCTTGTAAAATTGAGCGCGAAATACATGTGAAGGGTGAGCGATGAAATGCTTGTACGCCAGGTACACAAACTGCTCAAATTTCTGTTCGGCTGAAACAGCGTATTGCAAGTGGGTAGCGTTGTGAAATTCATGCATATTGCATTGATTGCTTTAAATCATTTTGATAGTCACAAAGTGACTCTAATGTTCCAATTGTATAGCAACTGATTTTGAACGAAACCTTTTTGAATTCAAAACGATAAATTATGTATGTACACTCTCGATCCGAACAAAAGCGAGTATATTAATAATTAAACGTTCGAATTTCCATCGTCCGAACGGAATTTAATAACTGTGCGCAAAGTTAGAGTAAATCCAAATGTTTCGTGAATCATTCGAATGTTTGGCGCATTCGACAAGACAAATCACTTGTTATAATTACCTCGCTGAATCAAACGCCAAATTTAATATCATACTCGAATTGTTTCACGGCACTCGCCTCCATATTCGCGTGCACAAATTCCGCATTGATATTTCATTTGGTATTTGATACGAAAAATAAAATGAAAACAAAGCAACAAGAAGAAAAACGGAGGTGGCAATCTACACTAGCGTCATACCGAAATGAGCAGAAAGTATTAAAAATATGTGTCAAGTTGGTGTGCATCCGCAACCATTCGGTTTATTGCTGCCCAGAGAAAGAGGAAAAAAATTCATTGACGGCCTGCCGCATCTCCGTAACAGTACTAAAACGTCGCGAGTGCGCACCTGAGCAGAGGGAGAAAAAAGGGCAGGCGGAATTACGAGTCTCGGGAGAGAGCGCAAGAAGAAAAAAAAGTAGCGAGAGCAAAGGGTCAACAGGCGGTAGTAAAAATCTCGGGCTGTGTGTGTGTATGTGTTAAATTTGGTGTTTGGAAAGCGCAGGTTATTGCCGAGGCGTCGAGGCTTTATACCGTTTGGCCAACGGGAGAGGCGTCGGGAATGCGGGACACGCAGCGCGCTGCCGAGGGGAACGGCCGAGGGGAATTTTATGGCTCGTTGCTCGTCGACGTGTAAAGCGGCCGCGTGCGGCTTTTCGTTTGGTTCGCGCGCGGCGCGAAAAACCTCGACCCCTGTGCGCGTACCGTCTGTTTGGCCGCGCTGTCCCTTCGCCTCGTCTTGTTCCAAATGAAAGTAGACCTCGAAAGTAACGCCCGTGGTTTTGCGAGCGAAACGCTGACGGGAGCCGGGGGACCGGCGAGTCGAGAGGCGGCAAGGCAGAGCTCGCTGGCAGCCGTCATAATCGGCGCAGCCTGGAGAGTTGAGGGATGGCCCTTATCGCGGCATCGCGGCGTAATGCGGCGGCGGCGGCGGGCGGCCACGTATGCGCGGCGATAAGCATCGTCGTTAGAGCGGCCGCCCGCGCCGCGCGGCAAATCGAGAAATAAATCAAAATTGCGTCGTCCATCATCATCCCGCGGCTGTCCGCAGGGCTATCGCCCCAAGACAAACAGCCGAGCGCAGGGTCGGCCAACTCTTCCGTGGCGGCGCGAGCGGCCCTCCAACCGCGACTCCGCTTATTCCGACCGATGCATCAATTACGAAGACGCGGCAACTCTATCGCGAGTTCGCTGCCCGACGGATCCTGCGATAGCTCGCGAGGAGTGGAGCCACGCGTGAAAATCAGAACGCGAGCGAAGCAGCGCCAGAGAAAGGGCACTCTGCGAGCGCCGACGGCGTAAAATCAAAGGGCGAGCTCTCGGAACGTCGGTCGACACAATTGACGATATTGCAGCCCCTCTGCCGCGCGGCGGCTAAAGCCCCGGCGCATTTCCGGCAAATTGCGTTTCCACTCCTGCTCTCTCTCGGTGGCAAAGAGGGATTAGGCGGCTGCCGCCGCGCTGCAACGCGTAAAACACCCAAAGCCCGTGTCGTTTTTCTCCAGCGCGCCCGAAAGTGAAAAAAGGGGGGATAAAGCTTCGAGCGATTAATTGCCGGGCCGGCGTCGACGATCGTTGCCTTATCGACGCCGGCAGTCGAATTAACGCGAGCCGAGGCTCGTCCTCTCCGTTGTTTTTTCGAGCCGCGCGACGCCAGGCGGAGGTGCAGGCCCCGTGGCGTCCGAACCGAGAACACAGCGTCGTCGGAACGCAGGGAGGTTTCGCTTACGCGAGCGGGGATCGCCGGCGGCGGCGGCTTGGCCGGTGGCTCGATTAATAATGCATGCTAACGCGACGAGACAGTCGGATGGTAATGACTATGAATTTCCATGGGCGCTGCCGTCCCTCCGCTGAAAAGCCGCGCGGGAGAGGACTTTGAAAAGTGGAGATTACGTTACACGCAATTAGCATAGGCGCATCCGGAAGAATTATGCATGTAAGGGATGAAGACCGGCGACGACGGGCGCGCAGCGCGCTGCCTCTCTTCGCGCGCTTCTTTCTCCCTGCGAGAGGAACGGGGCTAATTAAGGGACCGCGGCGCGACTTTTAAAGATCGTTAAGGATTAAGTTGCTCGCCGTTGTTGGCTTTTTGATGGCGCTCTGCTGCCGGCTGCCGGCCGCCGCCTAATGTCGTTCGGCGAGTTAGCTACTTAGCCCGCGGAAAAATAAGGGGGCAAAAAACCGGGGCCAGGGCAATAGACCAACTCCAAACGAGCTCCTCTCGCTAATTTGGTTTTGGCGCCGCTCGCGACCTCACAGACGAGATTCCGAACGCCGAACAAGGGAACAATTCCCATTTAGCCAGTCGCTTCGCGCAGGTGTACAGCTCGAGCAAAGAAAGAGAGAGAGAGAGAGAGAGAGAGAGAGAGAAAACCCGAACGAAGTGTAAACACGCGACACTCGTAGACACGCGTAAACTAATTGCAAGGGTCCTCGTGCATGTAAAAGTCGCAGCGAGAGGTGCGCGCGCCGTCGTCGACGTCGTGAAAGTTCGCTCGAGGGCTGAATTCCAAATTGCAGGTGCTCATACAAAGTGGCTAATTCAGCGACGCTTCTCCCCCCTACTCCCACTCTTTTTCTCTTTCTCCACTGTTACCGGCAACTTTTCATTGTCAAAACGTCTTCTGCTTCGGGACGGAGGGACGGATGCACTCCCAGGCTACCGGTCTTGTCAATAAGTTAGCCACCCGATGGAAGCATTGTCTTGTCGATAAATCCTCGCGAGTGTATTTATGTGATACATCGAAGTGGTTGGATAATGGGCATTGACATTGCCAACTTTTGTTTCCGCGCGCTTCAATTACGAGCAAGCCGCGGCGGCAGTGTTTGACGAGCAGACGTACGCGGGGAAAAAAGCAAAAAGGTAAATTGAAGCGATCCGTTATACGCTGCTGTCGGCCGGGTTGCCGAGAATCGAGGATCGATGCCGCTACACGTACTACCTGTCGCCTCGTAAATGGCTTTCTTCGCGGAGAGCGCTCTTTTCCACCTTTCTCCCCCTCTGCCCCTCTGCCCCTCTTCACCTCTCTCTCTCGCTTCCTCGCCAAACGTTCAATTCCAGGCGCGCGGGCTCGAGATTTTTCGTATGCATTTTCCACGGCGATACCGGGAAATGAGCAACTATTTATTTTGCGCGCAAGCACGAACTTTCGGTGTATACAAGGGATATGAAAAAAATTTATATGTGTGCGCGTGTGTGTGCCGCAGGTTTCGCGTGCGGTGATGGTGGTGGTGGGAAAAAAGCTTGGAGATGATATTGTTACAGGGGAGCGCGAGGCGAATGGAAAAAAAGCACGTCGTCGGAGACAGTTTTGAAACTAGTAAATGGAACAATGGTAGAGACTGAAAAAAAAGTGACGACGAGCGAGGCGCACGGGCGGAGCGACAGCTGTGGAGAATCTCGCAATGCCGAAATTGAATGCCTTGCGTCTGGGAAAAGAGAATCAAGCAGTCGATACAAAGATACGTACACACGGTAATCACGCGAGTGCGACGATTGTGACAACGTACCTTGCTTTCTTTCATTTTTGTCAGTCGAAACAAATGACGCGACGATACTTTGTGCAATCAAACTAATTCACTGGCTAGTTGCAAACAATTGAACCGTTAATTAGCAGTTTTCAAGAATCGCTCGATCCTTTTCGAAAGGCCGCGCCAACGACGTGAGTGATCACTCTGCCAAATTAATTAATAGTCTAATTGAATTATTCATTAATTAATCTTCTTGCGCTAGAGTTGCTTTTTATTGATCTACTTTTTCGATGGTTCGTCAGAGCAGGGCCGCTACATCAACTTTCGCTCGTCGGATTAATTAACGAACGCAGCGGATCGATTCAATTAGCAATGCTGCTGCTGCTACTGTTGCCGACGAGTCTCTTGTGCGCGTGTGCGCGTGTGCGCCTGCGTGTGACACGACGATACTTGGCCTTTTTCTCACGTTAAATTTACATCCCGATTGGCTAATACACGCGTGTTCGATTATTTCGTCGTAGACAAAGCTCCGTCACGTCCTCCGAGTCGCAAGCACGCGAGAGAGAGAGAGAGAGAACTCGCGACAACTTCGATAAAAATATAGTAATCACCTTACACAACTGTAAAAACTGTGTCGAGTCGTCAGCCAAAGAGCAATCAAATGTTTTAATGGCGGTGATCGTGTAAGTGCAACAAGCGAAGAATGTAGCGCACATAACAGGCTACGTGAGCGGAGAGCGGAAGGGGGAGAGAAAAAAAATGTTTTTGTACTTTCGCGCTCACTTTCCACGTTTGCCGTGCACTCGATCGCATTAACTCTTTGACGGAATCGCGCACTACGGACGCTCAAAGAGGATGAACTGCTAAGAGGACTCGATCGTTTTCCTTCAATCGCGCAAATCTGATTACAAGCTTGAAAATACGACTCCACGGCATAATCAGCTCTGTGCCATTTTTATCATCCACTTGCGCGCTTATGTTGAATTTGCCGATGACCGACTGCACGCAACGTAAGGCTCTTTTGCGACTATTGCTGCAGCACTTTTTATCTTTTTTTCCTTTGCCTCTTGACGTCGAACTCCGTACTAAC